GGGCCCCTGTCGGGAGGGCGAAAGGCGAGTTGCCAGAGACCGGTTTTTACTTCAGGAACTCGCTTGATTGCCCTGGCGAGCTACTCGAGGGGGTTGGTGCAGGGGTTACTCCCCCTCTCTGTCCCGCGGCAGGGGTGGGTGTGCATAGAGGGAGTTTGTGTCTGGCTCTGGGTGGGATCAGCAGGGAACCTGAAGAGGAATTGCTGTTCGGGTTAAAGTTTTAAAATCTCTCCAGGGGTAATTTGCCTTTCACCTCGTTCAAACACTCCTCCTAGCTCAGGTGGTGGAAGGAACGCTTTTTGAATCCAGACTTGGCCTGAGTCCCGGTAGGAACTACAGGCTGGTGAGCAATTACCGTCTTAAGATGGTCTCAAGACCGACCCGGGCTCGATGCGGTGCGGGCCTGTGCTGTAAGGTCACGCTGCTTGAGCAGCCCTGGGCGAGCTGTGTTTGAGGAACAAAGCATTGCAGAGAACTCCTTTGGGGTCCGCATGCAATTAGGAAGAAAGTTTGAGATCTTGCAGTCGATTAAGAGCTTGATGTTTAATTCACTTACTTGCTTCTCACTGGAAGGCCAGTACCTCAATTGTTTTGGCCAAAATAGTGTGATTTTTTATTTTTTTTTTTAATACAGTGATCACAGCAGTAGCTGTCACCCTGATAACTGTCTGGCTGAGGGCCAAGGAAGGTTCAATGCACTAGAAGTTTGAAAAAGTTTGAGAAAGGGTTTGAGAAGTTTGAGAAAGTTTGTGATTTATTTTCAGGTCCGTTATTGCTATTCAAGAAAGATAATTTACCAACTTTGCTACTCCTTCATGACTCACTGCTTTACGAAGGGGTATTCATTGCAGAGCAGTAAGACTCCCCAAAGTACTTTGCAACGCTGTGTAAGCGTTCAGCCTAAACTTAAGTCAGTCCTCAAGCAGTGCAGTTCCAGGAAAATGTCAGCGTTTTCTTACCCGCACAAAAAGCCGCAACCCTTGGCTAACCCCACAAGGAACTGTGATGAACAAGTACAGGTTATGTTGATACCTGGACTTTTCCACTGGCACTTGCTCTGCTTTTCAGCTTTTCCAGCTGTTTGGAGTGGAGCACTGAGCTGACACTGGCGAGCAGGGCTTTGGCTGGGCTGATTTTTATCAGGTTTACCTTTGCTTTGGGGAGAGGTCAGGGAAGTTTGCTTTTTCTGCTTACGCTAACTAGTCCTTGTGGTGTGTTTCCCAGCCTTGATCCCATATGCTGCAGGTTAGAGTGCTTGTCCAGTCATTGACAGCCCAAGAACAGTTCTCCTCTCTGATGGAGTGGAGTTGAGACCATCATTGGCTGCCTGAGCACCAGGGAATGAAGTATTTTTGAAGTATGGAAGGTTGAGAGCTCTTTCACTTGGTATAGTGTAACTCACATACTTATGGGAACCAGAAATGGAGAGTAGGTCATGGTCCTCTGTGTGTGGGGCCTGGTAAGGTAGCTGTGATAAGGCACTTCTCTAAATACCTTGTTTATGCACCCTATTGCGTTTCAGGTATTGGGAATTCTAGCTAGGCATCCTGCCGCTCTAGAGTAGATGCCAGCTCTAAACCGTCAAGACATAATCAAGTGTTTATTGTCATGCACATAGTTATGTATCAGGCGCACTTTGTTGCAAGAGACAGAGGATATAGGCATTGCCAGGGCCAGGTGGAAGCTGAGCAGCAGTTTTGAAGACCTGAATTTTGGATTGGGGCACCCAGTTTCTCCTGTGAGTCCAGCCCCAGCCTAGTAGAGCAATGGCTGTTTGCTGAATGCCTTCAATAGGACCTGTTGAAGATAGCACCCAACGCAAAGGACTTGAGTGGAGAAGGCCAGGCATGGGGTCTCCCCTCTCACTGTTGTACTGTTTGTTTGTGCCTCTTCATCGATGCCTTTGGGATTATGACCAAACTTTCCACTTCGTGGCTCAGTTACATACTGTGAAGTCTATGCAAGAATAAATAAGCTTGCCTGTAAACAGACAAAACCTTGGCTTAACAATGAAGCACTCTGTTAGTCTGGGACTGTGTCTTCTTACTAAATCTGCTTCGTTCTTCTGGGACCCATTAGTGATAAGAGTACAGTGTTAGCTTTGTTTCCAGCACTGGCCAAGCTCACATAAGCTGCTGAGTTCATACTTGTTAGTGAAATTTGAAAGGACAAAGTGTTTCATCCCAGTGCCATCATCCGGTGGACTGACTGCAGCCCCTGCTGCGGAGGGCATTGACCAGGCCTTGCCCAACAGAGGTCACCATCTCGTTTGTTTGCTTTTGATTTTAAAGTTAAGTTTTCAGGGCAAATAGGTATAAATCCCTGTTACAGTTTAACTGTTGTTTGAAAAACTGGCGTGGCTCTTAAGTCGGTCCACATGCTCTATAATGGATATATTGTGATTTGGCTGATGGTCAAAACAGAATGAGCTAACTATGGAAGTCAGCAGGCCTGGTGAAATATATGCCGGAATATATGTTGCTGTTATAAGATCATATATGTAAAGGCGCAGGAACACGGGGCTTTGAAATCCCATAGCCAGAGAGGTGAAAATAACGCTGGTGTCTCTGGGTTGGTGTTCTTGTGAAGCAATTCATTTGACATAGTACGTTTTCAAGTCTGGTATGACATGGATGCTATCACAAAACCCAGCACCTACTGAAGAGCTTTCATCACTACAAGGTTAAAAATGTATTTATTCAGGAATACCCTACAGTTCTGCTTTGGTTGTAAAACTTTCATGAGCTCTTAAAGCTATGTTAATATTTTTAAAGATACGTATATGATTTAGTAGACGCTTATTACATTCTGTCATGATTCTTTTTTTTTAATTGCTGCATATTCTGGTAGTGTGTACTTTTTCTTTTTTTCCACTAATATACAGGAAACTTGGTTGCATCAAGCCCAAGTATCTAGGCTTTGATTGCCCTTCGACTTTCGCATTCATCCAATTGTACTTAGTAGTTTAGAGTGGAACATTTTAAATGCTCATTTAAAACATGTAAGATCATCATCTTAAATTTATCAGGAAACAAGAACTCTGAAGTCATGGCGGGGAAACCCAAGCTGCACTACAGCAATGGAAGGGGGAAGATGGAGTCAATCCGATGGCTGTTAGCAGCAGCTGGGGTTGAGGTTTGTACCTTTTTTATAAAGTGATCAGATTAATCTGTGATTAAAATAGGTATTCTTTGGAAAGGTTTCCCAATTACATCTGTGCTTAGAGATATGCACGACATCAGATATTGTGATGCAGAATGCTTAGATTCAGTGATACACTCTCTCATGTTGTATTTAATGTAGTCCTTGAGCAACAGTTGCACAGTAAAAAGATTTTAACATACAAAGAGAATTGTTCAGTGTCATTTTGGAAGCATACTTTCAGCTGAGATCTTACGTTGTTGCTACAGACCAAAACCCTATATCTCTGACTTTTTCGGAATGCTCATTATTTCCCTGTGTCTCAGGATTGTTCTCCACTGAAAGACCATGTGTACCACGTGAAAAACTTTAGAATATTGCCTCTAAACAAAGTGCTTTTCATTCTTTGGGTCAGGACCTGAGTAGGATAAATCAGCAGAGCTGCCCTGAGGGCAGTAGGACAGCTATCTAGATTCACATCAGGTGAAAACCATCCTAAGTCATCTTAATTTCTACATTCAGTTTTTCTTTGAATACAGTGCTTTGAAACTATTTTATCAGAAGCTATTTATGCTCCATTGGAAATAAAAGGGTTTTTAAATGGTGCTCGCTTGTGAATGTTGCTGACAGAGAAGCTGCAGAGCACGAGTGCTGAGGAAACAAAGATCTTGCCCTCATTCAAATGTCCTCATTTTTTAAAAAAACCAAAATGCCAGCAGGGGGAAAGAGGGAGATAAATGCTATGTAACAGAGGCATAACTTATTAAAATTTCTCAATATTTCATGTGGCATCAGCTGCTTTTAAGTGAATGATTTGGTGTCTTAATTGTTTGTGCATGCAGGTAGACTGGTCTTTGTAATGAGGAAGCTTTTTTTGAAGCGTAAAGAATGGTACATTACTGTGGGGTTGGAGACACTATAGTCTTGGGTTTTTTGATGGAGCAAGAGATGAAGAATAGAAGTAGTGGGTCAATACAATCATGAGAAGTATGAGGAAAAGTGTGGAGAGGTGGAGTCTAACTTCCAGACTTCTTCCACTTCTCCATTGCCTTTGGAGTGACACAGTGTTGTTTTCTATCGCTGCTTTACAGTTTGAGGAAGAATTCATAGAAACGAAGGAAGACCTAGAAAAACTACGCAATGGTGAGTCTGTAAACTGTACCTTAAACATAAATTGACACCAATATAACAAAAGGACAACAGGTGATATTTTTGTAAGACTTCCAATACAATGTGACCTGTAAAGAGGAGATTTGAGAGATCTGCTTGCTTGCGGATGCTTTTGTCCCTCAGAATTGGAAATGTTTTGGTGTGTTACCAGGTCTCTTTCTCCGATTCAGTGTAGTACCGCAGCAGTCTGAGTAGTTTGCTTCTTTTTCATCCCCAGATGGATCCCTGCTCTTTCAGCAAGTGCCCATGGTGGAGATCGATGGGATGAAGATGGTGCAGACCAGAGCCATTCTCAGCTACATAGCAGCGAAGTACAACCTCTATGGGAAGGACCTGAAGGAGAGAGCCTGGTACGGTAACAGCGCTTATTATCCTTACTAACACTCTTCCATGATTTTTAATATTTATGAGAAGAATATTGCTGTGAAATATCTGCATGTAGAGGTGTATATACGCCTGCCAGTGCTTTATCTCCTCAGATCCAGGGGTTGGGTGAATGGACTTTGTGACTGGTAAATGATTGTTAATTGTCAACATAGCGAGAATGTTATGGCCGCCTTCAGGCTCATTTGATTTCAGAGAGACCAGAAGCGCATTAAGTTTCTGGGTAACTGCAGGACTTTAATACAATAATAAAGGCTAAGTATGCCTTTTTTTTTCCTCTTTAAACAGGAAAACAGTAGGAAAAACTACAGCTGCCTGCAAAAAATGAAGTGTCTTTAAGTATTCTGATTTCCTTTTTCAAATTGTGAAGAATCTTTCAACCTGATTAAAAAAAAGACATGTTCAGTGGCTTAATGCTACTGAAAGTTAAACCAATATTTTCCTAATATTACTTTACTATGTAAGCTGTGGATACTTTCCATTCTCATAATTAAAGGGCTAATGCAAAACCAAAAATCCTTATTTGCTCTTTCTTTTAAAAAAAAAAAGTCACACAAAAATTCAATTAAGTCCTTAACCTAATGACTACCGCTTACTGTAAAGGGTTTATTCTGTGATAATGGAGGGGCAACTCCAGAGATTGTGGGGATGATTATGGGCTGGCATGTCTGAACTGGCAATTGGTAGCTGGCATGCTTTCATGATTAGACCCTGAACCTACTTTTTTCCTCTAGCATGGTTTGCATATGTGGTCTTTTCTCCCACAGCATAGATGAATAGCTTATGAATGGAAAACAGTGTGAACTCCACTTTAAATACATGTGTTGCAGGTTCTTCTTTATACCTTGCTTGTTGCAGACACTGTGAACTTGTTTATAAAGACCCGTCCTTTGAAAAAAAGTAACCTGGAATCAAAGTGGAAGAACAAGAAAACAAACTAGTGTCTCGTTCACTACTAAGCATTTTACTCGGTGATCACTTCAGCACTGTATTTGAGGAAAATAACCAAAATGGAATGTTCAAATGATAAATGTGAAACAAAAATATTTATTTCAGGATTGATATGTACGTGGAGGGAACAACAGACCTGATGGGAATGATCATGATTCTCCCTCTTCAACCAGCTGACACAAAAGAAAAGAATCTTGCCTTAATAATTGAACGAGCTACAAACCGGTACTTCCCTGTTTATGAAAAGGTAAGTGATAAATCCCCAGTAGTCCACAAAGACAGTAAAGTGGGGTACAGGTTCCCCTCCACCCCACTCCCCTGTCCCCACACACCTACTTTCCAGAACGCAAGTGACACTACAACTCTGGAACTGTATGATGGGGCCAGTATTCAGCAATGGGAAAAGAGGGCCACAAAATAATATTCACCTGGTTTCAGTACTGACTATCTTTGCTGTCTTCTTAAGACTCCTCAAAGAGCAGATCCTACTTTTTAGACCTAGCTTAGTGGCTGATAGCTCCTAGCATTTTGCACAAATGCACCATTTAAATACCTGTGCCAGCCTTCAGAACTTACTGCCTGAAAGTGTAATATAATCTTGCTGTTCAAAGTTAAATATAATTACGGACCTAATTCTGTGATCTTTCTTAAACCCATTGCTTAAATGTATTATACTTACAGACTGTTACTGTCTTTTTCTGAATCGCTATTTGGGCTTCCTTCAGTGTGCACAAAGAGGCTCTGCAAACAGGATGTATCTAGCTTAAAAGCATAAAGCAATTATTTACTGGCTGGCGTGCCGTAAAGAGTTAGGAGGTAAGGCATTGGTATGCTTGCCACCCCCGTAGCGCACATGAAGAGTCTTTGTTGGCTAGGCAAGAGGAGAGCACGGATTGTTCCTTGCTTTACCCTGGAACAGAGCCTGGATGTTACTGAGTTGCCATTTTCTACCAACTTGCTGTTTGGTCTGTTGTTTTGTTTTTCCCTTTAGGATATTTTAATTTTTTTAATTTTAATTTTTTTAACATTTTCCTATTTGAATTGAGCCAGCTGTGATCCCCATCTCACTAGCCTACTTCTGTTTGTAACTTTACCTTTTGTACCTTGTATAGTTGGACTACACAAACTTTCTCACAGTGCTTTTTCAGAGTGTAGCAGTCTCCTCGGAAGTCTGTGCCAAGGGTACAAAGCTGTGTTGTTTTAGAGCTGAGCCAGGTTTCTAGCTTGAATCCTTGGTTCACAGTCAGCTGAAGCCTATTCAAAAAATACAGGACTTGGTGTAATTTCATGTGCCTCTTCATCTTTGCACAAGCGAAACCCACAGAGACTGCCTTGTGGAAAAAAAAAAAAAAAATTGCACATAAACAACATAAGCCAGCACTCCTGTAATCAGAGTTCACATAGATCCACTGCCATACCAATGGAAGGCTGTGCTGAGAGAGATTGATTGCACACATTAATTTTGTAAAGATTTGAAGTCTAGTAAGTATTTAAGTTATTAAAAAATAAAAAAGGAAATTTAGACACCAGTATTCTCTGAACTTGTGTCTAGGTGGCATAAACAATGCTTCAGCCTGTATGGTCCCTGGAGGAAATGCTTTAAAATAATCTTTGCTCACGTACAGTAAAGACACAGCTAAACTTTTCCATGCTTTTTAGCCTAGTTAATTTTGTTAGAATGATTAATAATTTTCCTTCCGTACCAGGTGTTCAAGTTGTCCATTGATTCAGCTTAGCAGGGTTTGCAGACCATATGTTACGCAACCCTGACAGAAAACATCCCTAGCTGTGGGTGTTCACTTTAAACTCTCAGCAGGCAGATAGAGCAGCAAAAGGTAACAAAAATTCCCTGCAGGCATTCTGGTTGTGATGCTCTGTTTGGGAGTTTCCGTATGGCTTTGATAGACAAGCTGTGGTGGACCTTGTTAGAGCAGTATAGGAAATAACTACGTGAAGGTATCAGCTTTGTTTTTGTCAGAGGTTACTGCCTCTTCTACAGGAAAATTGGCAGATGGGACTGGAGAAGGAATCAGCTCCCAAAGTCACAGACTGATGTCCTAGTTTTAGTGCTGATTTGTTAGTTGTTTAAGCATAGCGTTAGAGGAGGTTAGGCACAGAGACGTTTTCTTCTCTTGCTCCTGCTAGGAGGGTGATAGTCTCCAGGAAAAAGTTAGGCAGGAGAGCTGGTAACTGCTCTGAAGCTGTGCTGTAACATTCACCGTGACTTGACTGTTACCGCTATTCGTAGCTTTGGCAGGCTGTGATTCTTGCATCAGCAGTTTGCTGTGAAAGAATCCTTCCATACGGGGTGAAGGGTGGAAAGGCTGTGTTCCTTCATTCCTGACCTATTTCAAGCTATAATCAACGATTGCAAATTTTGCTGAAACATATGGGAATTCATTTGACTTTTTTTTTTTCCCCCCCAAAAAAAATCAAAGTATTCTACAGGTAAACTGTCCTGACTACCTCTTGCAATTATTTTAGTTCTGTTTCTTTTGTATGATTTAAGTCTTTCTTGTGGTACTGGACTTGCTACAGCAGTAGGCTAGAGTGAGTGATAGGTCCATGCACACTGAAACATGATTTCTGATTTAATTTTTTTTGTCGTGAGAGTATCTATCACTTTCTAACTTGATAGGTTCTTGCATGGATTTACTCTGCTGTGTGTTTTTGTAGAAATCTGTCTGTAATGAAATACCTAGATAAAATTGTTACATCCTATATGTCTTTTTTTATTCGTTTGTATTTTGTAGGCCTTAAAAGACCATGGGCATGATTATCTTGTTGGCAACAAATTAAGCTGGGCAGACATCCATCTGCTGGAAGCCATTTTAATGGCAGAAGAATGTAAGCCTGGTATACTGTCTGCATTCCCTCTGCTACAGGTTAGTAATTGATCTCGGTACGGAACGTAACATACAAACTTCACTGTCTGGTTTTAAAAGCTAATTGATGTTTAAATCTTTTGAACTGTTGTACAGTTCTCTGGTCTACTTCTGTTCACTACAACAGGCTGAATGCACAGGCACTGCCTTGCCCCCAGAGTTGCTGGGGGCTCATCTTTTTCTCCAGCTCTACTTTTCCCAGCTGTTCTCAGCTGGCAGGAATTCACTTACTAATGCTACCAGTTTGGTCCTGTAACTGCTGCTTCCATGTCTTCAAACACAGCAATGAGCATCAGGAAGGGAAGCCTGCAGCCTCTTGTGTCTGCAGTTCCCATCCTTCTCTTTCTGCTACCAAAATTATATTTTGAAGAAATCATATACAAGTACTGTTAAGTTTCTTATGTCTTGTCTGCCATGGTGCTTTGCACTGAGGTATTCCTGTCCTTGCCTCTTTTTTTGCCCAAATAGATCTGCAGGATTTGGATTCAGGCTGTGGTTTTTGCTTTTTTCTTTCTTTTCTCATTCCACTTTTACTAGATGAATCTTAACTCTTTTTAAATATTAATTTCTCCCATCCCCATCTGGGAAGCGAAGGTAAACTTTATAGCACCAGCATTGCAGATCCAGAATATTCACACCTGGATTTTCCAAGAAGACTGATGTGTTCTAAGTGTATTTTTGCCTTTTTTTTTTTTTAAAAAAAATGGAAAATGCTGAGCTGGCTATAAGGAGCTACCTCCTTTCTCTGTTTAATAAGTATGTCTGAGAAGTAAAAAAAAACCCAAGTCACCTGGTTTTTAAGCTATAAAGGATGGAATTATCATTTCTTTACTCTCATTGGCTTTACTGCTGCTTCTTACAGGCTTTTAAAGAACGAACAAGCAACATTCCAACAATCAAAAAATTCTTGCAGCCTGGCAGCCAGAGGAAGCCACAAATGGACGAGAAGACTCTTGCCATTGTGAAGAAAATATTCGGTATCTAATCATGTGGCTGCTGAAGACAACACAACTGTAGCGTATTTAGAGCTGTGGCTTGTTAAGTGTAAACTGCATAGATGTATTCTGTAGCACGCATCGTAGAGCCAGTGACAGGATAATCATTGAAACAGAACACACTTTTGAGTAAAGGGCTGATTTGGACCTGTTGAGTCCAGAAAGGGGAGTACTTACATGAAATAAAATATGCTGATACTTTGTGTTTGTTTAATTATGCCTGGTAGGGTAAAATGTTTCAGCTGTAGCTTCTAGAGTCCTGTAGAAAGCCTGTCCCCCCCGCCCTTTATAAACTGCAGGAGAGAAGAGCCACTCCATAAAAATGGGGAAGTCATTTAAATTCAGGCCTAGAATCTTTTGGGTTTGCTATCTAGGTGGTCTCCTAGATCAAAGTTCACTGTTCCTCTGCTGTATTTCACTGCTGTCTCTGTACTTTCAAAGCTGCAGTTTAAAAAAATAAGTAATAAAAAAAAATATTAAAACTCATGGTCATTATAAGTTTATGGGCAAAAGTAAGAAACTTCTTTAATCCCCACACGAATCTCTTAGAAGCGATTTTTTTTACTGAAAGATGGAAGTACTTGTGTTTAATTGGCCTTGATGTGGTTTTCATCTGCTAAAGCACCTATTCCTTTGCTCTTTTTGCTGCTTGGCTAGATGGTCACAGTGAGGAAACCACCACTCGACTGGTTTTTGTGTCAGGTTCTACCTTCTCCAGTCCCTTCTCAAGCAGTTGTAAAAAGAACTGCACTGGCCGCTTACCTTTTCAGTAAAAGTTTTATCTCAACAGTGCTTAAAGCATTCACTACTATTTCAGATTCTTTACCCTAATTTCATGGGAACCATCACTGTTCCCTTTAAGAACAGTGCCATAAACTATTCTTCTTCCTTGCAGTTAGGTGTTTTTCTCAGTAGGACTCCACCTGATTAGGCAGAGAAAACAATCAACCAGTGTGTACACAAATTGCTGCCCAGCAACGTTAATTCCTTTTCCGACATGTGCATAAGAAGAGCCACACAATGCACCTCGGAGGTACACACTGGAAACGCCGCAATCACCTGGGCACTGCCCTAAGAGTTTCACATTAAAAGGACCTAGGTAGGTGGAAGCAGCAGTTTGCCATGCCCACCGTAGCACTCAAGTTTTATCGAGCTATACGTCTGTTCCTAACAAGTGCTATGATTGCTGGACCGTCACAGGACATCACCTTTGCATTTGGTGAGTTCTCAGTCCCACAGGGATACATCTGTTGGACTTGCTGAGAATGCTACTTGTTTGGGCTGCTCAGGAATTTCAGCAGAAGCTTCTGGATTACCGTTGGGCTAGTCCAAGCCCCCACGGGCTAATTCAGAGAATGCATGGAAGGCTCAACTCTGGCCATGCTCAAAAATATAACATCTTACTGTATTTAGGATCTGGGGTAGCAGCAACTGCAGGATGGCTTCTGCATTTCAGCACTAGGTTGCCTAAACTTTTAATCAGAGCTTAATCTAAGGATTCACCTTGTCAACAGTATGGATAGCCAAATCGGCACTGGTCACCCAAGCCTGTTACAGTACATGCAGTTCCATTCCTCCGACATGCCTTCAAGTTCTACTTGAGGATGAAATGAACCACATCTTACGTGTCCAGCTGGCATCTCAATCTGAAATGCTTAACATACCAGCTCAATCACCTGTAAGTTTGGCAACACCTGGAGGTGACTGATACCAACATTTGTCAGCAAAAGATTCCAGAACTGGAGGTTTAGGGGTGGGGGTTGCTGCTCTCCCCCTCCTTTTTTGGTTTGTTTTTTTTTTTTTGGTCAGTTGTGCCTTAAGACCTCTGAGCTGCTCACAGCACCTTGTCACCACTTAAGTCCCTACCAAGAATAGTAAGTGCGGGATTCTGCTGATGGATTTGCGCAGCACTGAGGTCTGATATATGATAGCCTTTATAAGCAAAATCTGTATGAAAAAAAATGTACAGAAGCAAAATTTCTCTTTGTCTTCAATGGCGCGCTCACCCATATTCAGTTTCCCAATGATCTGGCTGCCCGTTCCTGTGCACCGGAAGATGGTCTTAGCCACGCTTTGAGACCCAGGGAATATTTAATTATTTTCTACACAAACCAAAGCAACTTCAGTCCCTAAATAGTTTTATGTCTGAATAGTCTCCTTTGCTTATGAGGACTTCAACAAGATAATCTGTGCAAGGCCACAATGGCAAACATGTCAAAGACTATCGAGACTGAGAGCTTAGAACCTATTTGTGCAAGACAGTGAACCTTCCTCAGCTGTCCTTCCTGCCAGTGGGATTTTGCACCGTGGTTCATGCTTTAAACCGGTACTGAGTACAAAGCAGCTCATCGGACTCTTCCATTGACAAAATGGCTCACTAGTCTGCATTAAAAAACCCGAGAAACTTCAAACATTTTACATTTTATTTGCACACTGATGATAGTTTTTACATTTAGAACCAGTGGAACAAGAACACGTGTTTGAAAGCAAAGTGGGTTTTCTAGTGCAACACAGTACAGGCCCAAGCCCTTATTGATTAATAATTGACAATATGATTACAATCAATTACTTAATCTCAGAAGCTACAAAATTACGGTTCAATACAATATACCTTTTTAGCATAAATGTGTTTATATATATTCTTCTCTCAAAGATACAGTGCAAGATTAACTCAATGTCTTGGGGCGCTCAGCACCTTTAAAAGAGATCAAACTTAGAGAGAAAGATCCCTTGAGTTAACAGACTGCTTAAACTGAAAGCAAAGTGGGTTTTCTAGTGCAACACAGTACAGGCCCAAGCCCTTATTGATTAATAATTGACAATATGATTACAATCGATTACTTAATCTCAGAAGCTACAAAATTACGGTTCAATACAATATACCTTTTTAGCATAAATGTGTTTATATATATTCTTCTCTCAAAGATACAGTGCAAGATTAACTCAATTTCTTGGGGCGCTCAGCACCTTTAAAAGAGATCAAACTTAGAAAGATCCCTTGAGTTAACAGACTGCTTAAACGGAAGTAGATCAAAATTTATCAACAAAACACTTGTTTTAGGTTAAAAAAAAAGCTTGCAAAGTATCAGTAAATGTCAATAATCCAATAATGGGTACAGATCTTTTACAGAAAAGATAAATGCAATGTAAAACTTGTGTTCAAACTTGTCTTTCAAGTACGGAGAGCTTGCCTGTTTGTTCAGCGGGCATGGCAGTCATACTTTGGTTCTTAAGTTGCTAAATTCTCCTACAGCAGCATAAAAACAAGCCTTAAAATCATCAAAAGGCTGAAAAAAAAAAAAAAACAGAACAAAAACCATAAATACAGTTGTGCATGAACACAAACAGTGAAAGTCATCATTAAATAACTGTGCATTCATAAATACCTGACACAAGAGCCTCTAGTAAGCAATCTTTTAAAATGTCTACAACTACAGCCTCGGTGCCTGCTGAAACAGACAGTCCACCTAGGCTTGAAAAGCGATCCACAATGGAAAAATAATGTTTTCCAGTTAAGTCCTGATTATTAAATTTTGCATCTTGACAATTTGCATCTGATTTTTTTCCTCCCTCAATGTAATTGGAGTAAAGCAGTTAACAGCGTTCTATTAAATCTGGTAACAACGAAGCAACAGTTACTATTCCTTCAGGAGGTGGAGATTCTGACTTGCAGTTGAAAAACATTTTGAGTTGCTGACTCACTGGGAAAAAAAGTAGTTTTGACTTACTCCATAATTTAATTCCAAAATAACAAGTACAGAAAATTCTGTTTTCCAGAATGCCAAAATAAACAGCAGCAATAAAGCTGTCAGAATGATCAGAAACATCATAATTTGCAGTAATACAGACCAAAGTTCTTAGGTCAGGTCAAAAATGTCCTGGTTTTCAAATGTGCTGCGCTTCCAGTAGTTTTGAATGCAGCACTTTGAAACCAAAATGTTGGTCTTTTTAAGATGACTGTGTTGTATGAAATTAGATGACTAATTTTATGCATATGTGTTTGAAAACACTGAGGCTTACCTCAGGTTCTTCCAAGAGCCTTATCAATATGCATTAATATTTAATTGCAGATCTCTCCTTTCTGTGCTGAGAAAGTCAGTCCATATCAGATGTATCCGCCTAGTGAGATGAAAAAGCTGTTCACTGGAAACAGGACTGTGACCTCCAAACTAATTTCACTTAAACCACACAGTTGCTGGATGACAGTAACTTCCACTGATACTGGCTTGGATCAGCTGTCAAATGGCAACTATTTGAAAACCAGTGAAATCTTTGCATTAAGATCCTCAATATATGTTTACCTCAGGCATGCTACTAGTCCGGCTGGCATTAATTTCTTGGACCTCTTGAACCTCATTCCCATTATAATGGTCAAAAGAAAAGCTGAAACTGTAAAAGACAATTCAATATATTTATGTTCCCACTTCTCCCAGTGGACCATTCAGGAACATGGAGAGTTATCAAAGGTCATTGTTATGCTTTGCTATGAACTGTAATTTAACAAAACATTAGGTCAGAAATAGGGTCTATAAGAACATTCTTACTTTTCCAAAATACACTGCTATGATTTCTTTCAGCTACAAATCAGGTTTCCACATGCAGCAGAATGCTAAATCCTATTCCATAGACACTAAGTAAGTTTGTCAGACAGTGAATTCTACTCCTCCGTATATCTACATTCATGGGGATACAAATCAAGCAGGAAGAATCTTCATTGTAACAGTAACCTGTATGCTGAATTACAGGAATAGTGTCTCATAAATCCCACCACTCTTGATCATTGCAGCTGTTTTCTAACTATTCAAGGAGCTAGAGCATCCAACTTTCTCTGTTTTCTTTTTAGAATGGTAGCTCTTTATTTGCTGAGCCTTAAAAACTAGATTGGAAGGGTTGCCGCTTGTTTTCGCTACAGAACGTGGCTAGCAACATCTCCTCCATCATGACCACAGAACATGGCTAGCAACATCTCCTCCATCATGACCACAAGTTCCCTTGTTTTCTTTTGCTACAAGGGAACTGTCCTTGTCTTGTGACAAAAGGTGGGCAGCCCAAGAGGGCAACAAATGCAGTGCAAGCAGCAGAGAAC